CCTTCCCCATCCCCCATTGTTGCTGTGCCCAGGATGACCTCCCGGGGAACTTCGTCCACTGGCACAGCTTCAATACCACCCATGTGTGATGACTCCATAACATGTGCTGCCAGCCAGCCCTCTTCCTGGGGTCCAGAACTGTATCGCCAAGTCCCCATTGGACATCTACCTCTCCCTGGAAGTGCCACCATGTAGCTAATGGCATGTGTCCCAAACAGAACTTTTCTCCCCAAACCTGCTCCTCTTGCACTCCACCCTCCAAACCTGGCACCCGAGCCCAAATCCTGGGGTCATCCCAACCCCCTCTTCATTCTCCCTATATCCAAACCCTGAAGCCATGGTCCTTCCTCTATCTTGAGTCTACCCAGTCTCTGCATCCTCACTGACCAGTCCTTAATCCTGGCCCTCTTAACTCCCTCCCTTGCCATCACAGCCTCCTAACAGCCTCCTGGTCTCCAGTCTCTTCACCTCCCCAGGAATTTCTGAAAACAAATCTAATCACATCACTCACCTGCTTAAAAGCACCCACTGCTGAGCACCCCTGCAGCCTCGATTGAGCACCCTCCCTGCACAGCTTCTCTTCACCTGCATCCGGAGCACTCAGTTCCCAGAATGCCTTTGGTACCCGCCCCCTCCCTGAAACACCCTTCCAAGCCCTGGCACCTGGCTGATTCCTACTTGTCTTTCAGGATTCAGTACTGGCGTTCCCTCCTCCAGGGAACCTCCCCCGACCATGCCTGCCTGGACTCAGAGCCCCTCCTCAGGCTCCAGTCATGGCCTGTCCATCTCCTCTACCAGACTGAGAACATCTTGAGTACAAGTCTGAGTCTTGTTTGTCCCTGGACCCTCAGTGTGTAGCTCAGGATCTAGCATGTAGTAGATGATCCTTAAATGTTCAGATAACTAATGAGCAACTGAAAGCATGAATGAATAAAATGACTGAGGGATGGATATTCCCAGTCAAATTCAAAAACGTCTCATGCACGACAGGCAGCAAGGAGGTCCTTCTACAGCCAAAACTGGGAAGAGGAATGAGACCACAGAGGGCCCAAGAACGAAATGAGAATTTTGGCAGGAAAATGAAGGTCAATGGGAGCCAGGCCTGGGCTCCGCATAAAGGCAGGTTCATGGATGGGTCTGCCAGACTGCAGGAGACAGCAGGAGTGGGAAGGCAACCCAACCCTCAAGACTGAGGTGAGGCACTGCAGACCTTCTGAGTGTGTGGGGGACCCTCGACCAGTCATGGGCTTTAAGGCCAACCATGCTAAGAAGACACTTTCTAGGGGCCAAGAAACCCTGAAGAAAAGGAAGGCCACAGTGTAGGAGGGCCCTGAGGGAGGAAGGGCGGAGGGTACCTACTGTAGGATGACATGAGGAAGCCTGTGTTCACCTTCCTGGTGGCGCTGAAGTTGGGTTCGATTTCATTTCCTTTGGGGTTGAACTTCCGGCGATGGATGCGACTAGGCCGGACATACAGCACATAGTAGCGCTCCTGGGGCCAGGCAGAGAGAGAGTGAGGGGCTGCTGCCTTCCCTTCACCCTTCAATACACATACTCCCCACGGGGCTCCAGCTGCAGCCCTCCCCCGCCTCTCTCTCTACCCTAGAATCCTACCTCAGCTCCAAAAGATACTCAAACTGGCCAGAGGTGCCCACTCCCAATATTCATTCATTCATTCATTCATTCATTCATGTGTTTAGTAGAGCACTTGCCACCCACGATGAACCACGCTAGATGTGCAAGAGAGGGCAGGCTCAGAGCCTGATCCCAAGGCCTCCACACAATCAGAGACAGAAAGAATATACAGGAAACTGTAACCCAAGCACCAAGGACTCCAAATACCATAAAGCAGGAGTGGAAGCATCCAGAATGCCATGGAAAGGACACTGAAATGGAGTTGTGAGTGAGGACAGCCACTGTGCCTCTTCCAACGGATGTGGGTCCTGGAGAAAAATCACTCCTAGCCTCAGTTTCCCCTGTTGCCTGGAAACAACGTGATGTCTACTTTCAGGCATGTTGTAAGGGTTCAAAAGATAACAAAGGATGACTGAGACATTATGCTGTACACCAGAAATTGACACAACATTGTAAACTGACTATACTTCAATAAAAAAGCATGCAAAAAATAAAAAAGGGGGAGAGGAAGAGAGATGACAAAAGGACAAACACAGCATAAAGTATGAAGTGTGCTGTAAATGCTGCTGTCAGCTATCCTAATCAAACAGGCAGCCGAAATGCTCCCAGAGATTAAAGAAAAGGAAACCACCTTCTGGGAGAAACATTTCCTGTCTCAAGGGTGAAGAAACCTGCAACTGTGGGAATAAGGATGAAGGAAGATTATTAAAAGCCTGGGCAGGAACGTAAAATAAAAGACAAGGTTCCGTGTGTAAGTTAGAGCAACGCAGGACCCCTCCAGGCCTCATGGGAGTCCAGGCTGGGGACGTAAATGGGATCATTTAAGACCGGCCTTGAGCTGGCATTTGGAGTTTGGATTTTACATGGTAGACTAGAAGGAATCCTGACAGGTTTTAGAACAGCAGCGAGGTCCTGAGAGATGCCTTTCAGGAGACAGGTCAGCAGTAGGGCAGGAGTGAGTGCTGGGGGCAGCCAGAAGGCAGGAGGGCGAGTGCGAGGTTTGATGGGGACAGGCTGAGTTCCCGAAGGCCCCTGGGAGGTAAGTGGACGTGGAAAGAGGAAGGGAGGGGAAGGGAAGATGGTCAAGGTAGGAGGCCAACAGGACTAGGATTACTCACCTGCGGAAGGGGTGGAGGAACACAATGGAGGTTTGCAAGCTTGTGGCTGGAGAGGGCAAAGGGGTGGGGTAGGGGGTTACTGCACTATCATTAGGAAAGAGGAATTCAGAGGAGGCAAGTTTGGAGAGGGGTTAGGAGAACAGCCTGCTGTTGAGGACAGACAAGACAGGCTAGCCCCGCATCAGCGGGGGCTACTGCTGGGCTCTCCTGGGCAGGCTGGCTGGGGGCTCCAGGTTGGTGCGCCCACCCTGCTGACCTGTGTCCTAAGGAGGGGAGGGTGCAGCAAAGTACCTCTTAGCATGAAACTAGTGCGGAGCCTGGAGGGGAGGCTGTTACCTGATGTGCAGGAGAGAAACCAGTTCTGTGTAGTCCCAGGCCTCTGAGAGGGGGTTTGATAAGCTTAGTTCTAGAGATCTAGGAGATATGGTGGTCAGCACATCTGGTGGGGGAGCTTTTTGAAATGGAGGTGGAAATGCAGAACTAGTACTCAAGAAAGAAACACTGGCGAGTCCAGGATAGTGAATGCCAGGTGTGTCCATCGACCCCTGAGATGGGTGGTGATAAAGCCACATGGTGATGACCCCAGGAGGCTGAGAGAGCAGGAACAGAAAGGGATGGACATGGGAACTGAAACCCTGGGTGGTGTCAGCAGCGCAGATTTCACACTCAGCCTGGAAACAAAGGCCCAGAACACAGCAACCCCCCTCACACCCCAATGTTCCTGCACCCATACACACGTGGAGATCCAGGTCCTCATTGGTGACCTGCTTTATAAAAACCCAATATTCTACAACATCCTGTCACACACGGTGATGTCAAAAGACCTAAAGAGCGCCTTTTAAGATATTCACCACCCTGCAGCTACATAGGCTGATAACCTGCTCTGACCTTGTCCATCAGGCCCCGGGGCAATGGGAACCACCAGACCAGAGGACAGGAGCTGGGCCCTCAGCCCCACAATAAAGAGCCACTCATCCTGCCCACCCAGCAAGCCTCCCAGCACTCTACATCTGTCCCATCAGAAGGTGACAGGACCTCTTCAGAGGGACTTCCAGCCCACACGACACCACATCCTGAGTCCTGATCCACTCCCCTCCCTCCTCCCTGCTTTCAGCCCTCCCAGTACTGGCCCCAAACACACCCCTTGGGTTTAGGGCCTGATCTGTCTTCTCAGCAAGAATGCAGGCCCTCTCATCTGTCTGCTGCCCAACACAACCCTAACTGATCTCTTCCACTTATGGCCCCTTTTGGCTGCTAATCTCCCAACCCACCCATTCGGCCTGTGAGCCCTTCAGGGAAAGAGCTGGATCCCAAGTCTTGGCACTGGCAGAGCCAAGCAGAGAGAGATGCCTTGGTAGGTGCTCTAAGTAAACATCCTCACCTTCCTGCCATTGACATCCATGATGCTGTGCCGAGATACATCGACCAGCTCTCCCTCCAGCAGGACGCCATTTCCCCTGGAGATGAGAGAGAACGAGGGATCAACTGGTGCTGTCAGTCCTCAGGAAAGAATCACAAGTGCAGCCCGGGTCAGAGTCTGCACTGGAACAGAACCAAGTCCCAGGTGTGTCTCCCGTTCACCTGGCCCCTGATTCACTGGGCACCTGACAAATATGGAGCAGCCCCTTTATCTGTGCTTCCACACAGGGCCTCCACTCCTCTGAGGCCCCCAAAGGCTGGGGTACCGTCCAAGGAGTAGGAGGAACATTGTCCAGGCTGCAAGACCAAGCTATGGCCCCTCCTGCAGGGACTACTATAACCAGAGCCTCAGTCTTATCTACAAAATGGGAGCGTAACAGCCACTTCACTCTATGATGATGACGTAAAATCATGTATGTTAAGGTGCTTTGTAAACTATTATTTACTAAATATAAAGGATTTTATTTTTTTATTTAACCAAATTGGGGGTGGGGGGTTCCCTAAGCTGCTATAAAGTATCTCTTCACCTGCTTTAAAACAGTTTCTTATTCCTGTTCTCTTTCATATCCACTTCAGAAGTGGAGAAAGCCAGACTCAGAAGTCGTGTGACCAGCCCAAAATTGCAGGGTCTCTCATTGAGAGGAAGTGGACTCCTGCTTCCCAATTCTAGTTTTCATAGCAGAACCTGGGGACTTCCTTTTTTGGAACCATGGAAATAGGAGAGGGGTGGGGACAGCTGAAGGGATGGGGATGAAAAGTGAAAACTCCCTGTACCTTGTTTGCCCCTATCCACCCCCCTTACCCCCTTACCCCCTTAATTCTTTAGCATTGTAACTGCAAACGGAATGGTCCATTAGTTGTCATAACCGCCATGTCCGTGATGGCAGGGCCTGGCCCTCCGAATCCAACACACGCCTCCAGGCAGGCCTTGCCCTCCCCTAGCCCTGCCAAGCCAACACCCACCCGCTGTTTGGGTCACAGCACGACATTGTCCCTTCTGGAGCGGGAGTGCAGCCTGCGCAGAGGCCTGAAGGCACGGCAGCGTGGCAAGTGGTGGAGTTTATAGTCACCGGGGTTGGGTAGAGACAAAGGTTGGCGTGAAGTAAGCAACGCCTTTTGAGCCCTGTTTTGGAGTCATGACTGGACCCTCTCCCGAGGTTACGGGAAAAAGAGGGGAGTTTTACGCGGCTCTGTGTCTTAGGGAGCGAGCTCCAGCTATGGGGCGAACGGGAGCAATGAGAGGAGTGGACCGGAGGCCCGGGAGGCCTTTGGAGAGCCCCGTCTTTCCTCCCATCTGCACCCAATCCCAGTGGCCCCCTACCCTCCGCAATCAGGGAGCCAGCTTCAAAGCTGAGCCTCGGGAGCCGACAGAGGCCGAGCCCCGGAGTCGATGGGGAGACTAGGGCGGAGCCTACCCCTGGTGGGCAGCGGGGTCCCAGGCCCCGGGCAGCCGCGCGCTCTGCACCGCCTTGTTCCGGAGGGCGCTGTCCTGGTAGATGCGGCTCATTATCCCCGCGGCCGCGGAGCCCTGGAGACCCGGCGCACGGAGCAGGCACTCGGGGCGGGGGGCACCGCAGGGGGAAGCGCAGGGAGGACCACAATTCCCAGCAGCAGGTCTGGGACAGGCGCGGCCCGGGATCCGGGCGTTCCCGGGCGGAATTTAAAGGGGCCGAGCCTCATTCCTGCCCGCGAGACAGTGCGCGAGGTGGGAGGTGGGAGGTGGGCGGTGGGCTTCCGGGAAGACCCGGCTGGGGCCTTAGACCGGGGCGTGGGATGGGGGTGGGGTGGGGAGCCACGCCCTTCTCTTTTCGCTCCCCTTTCCTTGTTACTAGAGGAAGACCCATGCCCCACACACGCACAAAGGGGAAATTAAGGCCCAGAGAGCCTATAGGATCAGCTCTGAAGGATGGGTTTCCAGAGAGCAGGAATGCAAAAAAGGGAACAGCCCTCAGGGACGGCAGGGTGGTAAGTACAGAGCTGCTCTTTATGCACCCCCACCCCCACCCCCGCGCTTGGTCGCACAGTGGCTGAGGGAAGGGTTCCAGGAGTCTGTAACGAAGGAGTCTGGGCTTGGGTGTCAGATCAACAGCCTACCAAAGTTTGAATCCCAGCTGTGTGAGTTTGGACAAGTTCCTCAACCCTTCTGAGCCCGTGCTTCCTCCTCTGTAAAACGGGGTCAGTATCAGAGGGGTTGTAAGGATTTAATAAACTCACTCTAGAACGGAGCATCCGCACAGTTCTTGGACCCCTCCCCAGCTCCCTACTGTCCTTTGCCCAAGTATGTAACATTCTAGGGACGCATTTTCCAAGCCTGGGTGCAGGATTGTTGGAGAGCCTTGGTTCTCCTATTTGACTTCTTTGTGCCGAGTCCTGGGGCAGACGGAGCCCATTAGTGAAGTCAGGAGTGGCCTCTGGGGCAGCCTTCAAAGGGGAGGTGGCCAGGTAGATACCTAGGAGCCCAAGATGAGCTGAAGAAGCCCCCCTCCTCCCACACATTATGACTTCTGTGGGTTTTAGGCATTTTTGTTTTCAAGGGCTCCCTCCCTCCCCCATAAAAATGTTTTTAGATTGTATTTTATGAGTGGGTTGACATAAAGATGAATATATTGATATATATTATGACATTTTCTTTGGCCTTTTTTTCCTTCTAATTTAAAAAAAAAGTTAAAATATTTTCTTGTGTCTTAGGCATTGTGCCTAATGGATTAGTCAGCCCCACACCTATCTGTCTGTCCTACCTGGCTGCTCCCTAACTTCTGAGAAGGAAGGACATAGAAGAGCCTTAGTGGGAAGCCCCTCTGGGCAGAACTGCCCTTTGGCTCTGTCTTTTCAAAACTCCCCAGGCTGATAGAAGAAACTCTCATAACTCAATAGAAAAACAACAACAACAACAAAACACTACAATCAAAAAATAGGCAAAGGAACTGAATAGATATTTCACCAAAGGAGACATACACATGGCCAACAGGTATCTGAAAAGCTGCTAAGCATCACTAATCATCAGGGAAATGCAAACCAAAACCACAATGAGATATCACGTCACACCTGTAATGACTATTGTCAAAAAGACGGTGTTTTAGCAAAGATATTGAGAAAGGGGAACCCTTGTACATCATGGACGGGAATGTAAATGGGTGCAGCCACTATGGAAAACACCATGGGATTTTCTCAAGAAATTAAAAATAAGACTACCAAATGATCCAGCACTCTCACTTCTGGGTATATATCCGAGGGATTTGAAATCAGGATATCAAAGGGATATGTGCACCCCCATGTTCCTTGCAGCATTATTCACAGTAGCCAAGACATGGGCGCAACCTAAATGTCTGTCAATGGATGAATGGAAAAAGAAAATGTGGTATATGTATACAATGGAATATTATTCAGGCTTAAAAAAGAAGGAAACCTTGCCATTTACAACAACATGGGTGAACCTGAAAGTGAAAGAAGCCAGACACAGAGAAACAAATACTGCGTGATTTCATTTACATGAAGAATCGAAACTAGTAAAGCTCACAGAAGCAGATAGTAGAATGCTGGTTGCCAGGGGCTTGGGGGAGGGAAAATGGAGAGATAGTAGTCACAGGGCACAGTTTCAGGTTTACAAGATGAGTAAGACCTAGAGATCTACTGTACAGCAGAGTGCCTATAGTTAACAGTATTGTATTATATACTTAAACATTTACTAAGAGGGTAGATCTTATGTTAAGTGTTCTTACACACAAACACAAAAGAAAGAAGGCTTGGGGAAACTTTTGGAGATGATAAACTATGTTTATAGCATAGATTGTAGCAATGGCTTCACTGGTATGTACTTACCTCCAAATTCATCAAGTTGTATATCTTAAGTATGTTCAGCTTTTTGTGTGTCAATCGTACCTCAATAAAATGGTTAAAAAAGCCCAAACAAACCAAAAAACTCCCTAGGCTGGTCACAACCACAAGGCTGGCACGCCACCTCCTCCTTCCCCTTTCTTTGTCTTCTTCCCACTCAAATGGCTCCAGATCTTCCCTGCCTTTTATGGCAGCTACCAGCCTGATATGGCTATTTAAATGCACATTTTAATTAAACCTAAATAAAATTTAAAAGTCTATTCTTCAGTCTCACTAGCACCGTTTCAAGGGCTCAATGGCTAGCAACATGTGGCCAGTGGCTACCATGTTGGACAGTGCCGAAACAGAACATTTCCATCATTGCGGAAAGTTCTGTCAGACAGTACTGCTCTGAATCCTTTCTTATAAGAGTGATCTTCTGCTTATTGGGCTCTCACCTCACCCCATCAGCACAATAGGCAGACCGGGCATCAGCAAGACAGGGAACAAAAAAGAACAAGAACATTTTTTCTTTTGAAAATTTTGGTATTTCCTAAAAAGCATCAATCATTTGGGGGAAGAAAACAACTTTGTTGGACTTTCTTACACCTATTTGTGGGTTAATGATGTCTCTATACTAAATTATAAACCATAAGGTACAACATGGAGACAGTTTAAGCTTTGGACCCATCAGTTCCATGGTCCCTTTTAAGGACGGGGCTGAAGGGCCATAACAGTGTGTCCACATGGGCATATGCTTTCGTAAAATTTTCATAGGTAACGCAGTTTTGGTTTGGTCAGTTAAGACACTATCTCTTCTTGCCCTAATTCTCCTTTGCTTCATGTCAGATGATGTTGGAGTGAATCTGAGTAGGGGAAAGCTGACATGAGATACGTATAGTTTGGGTTTTACAGAATAGATTTATGTGGTCTATAGGCCTTCCTACTTATAATTCAGTTTTCGCCAGCCATCCTGGTGTAGGAGAGCCCTACCACTCTCTGTGATGACTCATCTGGTGTAGGGCACAAAGTGTGTGACATAGAGGAGCAGAGCACGGGGGTCACATCACAGTAGAAATGTGCCCTGCAGTGCCTGGCGCTCAGACGGTGCAGGGTGGGTAGGAGGGACAAGGTGGGAAACTAAGGAGCCAGAGGCTGATGTGTAGAAAATTCCTCCACTTATCAAACAGGTAAAGTTGTAAGCAGAAGACTTGGTCCTCATTAACCTGAAATGGAAGCACTTTCAGGAGTGTCCTCACTAAAGCTGTGCATGTAATGGAAAAGCAAAATAGAATTCATCAGAATTTCTGTCGGGCACAAATACGTAAACAGTAAAACAAACCAGGAGTGCTTGTGCATGTGGACTCTTAGCTTTTATGCGTAAGATCACATCTTAGCATATCTGACACATCTCGTCCTGACAAAGTCTGATAGTTCCAGAAGAAATCATGTGCTAAATTGCTGCCAATGCAGTGAAATAGCCTGAAGAAAACACGTGCACACCACAGAGCAAAAGATGCAAAACAAAGGAAGCACTCAAGAGGGAAAGCAGAACATAAAACAAGATGCCAGAATGAGAACTAAACCTATCCATCACATTACATCAATAAATGCAAAGGGAGTAAACCTAGTGTGGAAAGAAAATCTATGATGTGCCTTTGTATCCGACATCTTTTAATGCCACATCGGAGCCTCTTAGCCGCCAGTGCCTTTGACCTATCCTGTCCTAACCAAACTGCTTAGGCTCCAGCTGACTTTATGCAGAGACAATCCCCAACACCTCACCTCAAGGCTACACTGCACCACCTTAAAAGAAGACATTCGGGATAGAATTGTGAAATTGGATTACCTGTTGTTCTGACTGGCAGTAGGGACAGTATGGCTAGTGGTAAGTGGGTGGCGATAACGCTTAGCATGATGGGGCATCCAAAATACTAAAGTTGTCTTCTGTGCTTAATTGGGATGAGGTGCAGGTAGAAGGTGAAACTGAGCTGGAAAATGGAAGGTAGCATTTGATTGTAGGGGGGCAATGATAATTATAAGAAATGTAGAGTAGGCTGGCTTTTATGAACAGCATAAGAAACCTGCAAAAAAGAAAATGATAGGCTTAGAGTAGCTAACAGCCAACTTGAGATGTGTAAAAGCCATGGGGAGCTTAATGGCAGTTTTTAAGGAGACTCATCTCCTGCAGCTTCAGGGCAAACTTTTGAAAGTCAGGGTCTGCAGCTGATTGTAAGGGGGACTGTGCTGCCAGAGGAGGCTGACTGTGCAGCTGTGTTAGATCTGTCAAATTCAGAGCCCTGCTAGGAAAAGCATGGGTCTCTGGGGTGGGGACAGTGGGTGCATGAGCATGAATACCTTGAACCCCCAAATTCCCCTGAATTCTCCTGGCCAGGAGCAGCCTCTCCCCTAATCTGGAGACAGTGCAAAGACCTCACTGGAAGCAGGTGCCTTGCAAGATGTCATTTGCTTTTCTTAAGATCTGCCTCTTTCACCCCTCATTGCCTCCAGGCCCACAATCAGAATCGGGACTCACCACAACCTGAGCAGGAAGGTACAGTCCCTCCTCCCAGAGGATCAGCTTACCCACCCAAGGAATCACAGGACCTGGTCAACATGTGCCGTCTGGAGCAAAGGGAAGCCATGTGGCACTGGATCTGAGGTGAATGACTAGGGGGAATGGAGCATAAAGCTGGACTGGAGAGAATTTATTGACATGGGGCATTCACCTGTGATTTGGCCTTCAATATTTTAGCAAGGTTCCCTGGAGCTGGTCTTAATAGTATGTGGAGATGCCAGAACTTCCTTGACACACACTACAAGACTCCAAGAGAGAGGGCAATGTTAGAAGGGATTTACTATGTAAGACCTGAGAACCCACCATCTGACTAGGTGCAGAGGCAGTGAGCAAGCAAGCAGAGGGCCACTGGTATCTTGAGATGCCCTCTGAGGTTAATGAGAGTAAATAAGTAGATTCGACCCTGGAATTAGACTCCCAAATAAAAGGAAATTTATATGCTTATTTATTTAGATTTGGTGAGTTAAAGGCTGATGTCATCCAGTGTTATGGATAATTATGGTCCCTTGTCAATACCCAAACATGAGTCAGTTTTCAGAGTTCACTGAAGGGGGAGCCAAGTCCCCTTGAGGAACAATAAGAGGTTTTTTATCACACCAACTATTTCTCCAGTTCTCTGAGACCCACCAAGTGTCTTACAATCCAATTTAAATCGGACACTAGCTACCTGGAGTTGGCATCAAACTCCAGGTTTAAGATCTGTGTCCTACTTCAGACACCAGTCTCAAGTTTCAGATCCCCAAGTTACCTACAGTTCTCCCTGACTTAGCTACAAAGTTCGGGGGTTCCCACAACCCCTCCTCTCAGGTTCACTAAATTGCTAGAGTGACTCATAGAACTCAGCAAAATGCAATACTTACTATTACAGTTATTATAAAGGATACAAATGAACAGCCAGATAAAGAGGCTCACAAGGCAAGATCTGGAATGGTCCCAAGCACAAGCACTTCTTTCCCTTTAGAGTTGGGCTGTGCCACCCTCCCAGCATATGGATGTGTTCATCAATCTGGAAGCTCTCCAAACGCCACCATTTAGGGGTTTTTATGGAGCTTTCATTATATTGGCATGATTGATGTAATCACTGGCCATTGGTGATTAGCTCAATCTCCAGTCCTTCTCCCCTCCCTGGAGTTTGGGAGCTGGGGCTGAAAGTCCCAAGTTTCTAATTAAGCCCTGGTCTTTCTGGAGACCAGCCCCTATCCTGAAGCTATTCAGGGGCACTAAGACTCACCTCATGAGAACAAATGATGCTCCTATCACCCTTATCATTCAGGGAATTCCCAGGTTTTTAGGAGCTTTGTGCCAAGAACCAGGACAAAAACTAAGTATTTTTCTCATTATACCCAAAGCACCACCACAAGTATATATATAAATAGTCTGCCGGTCCTGCAAAGGGATCTGTGGCCATTAACTGAATAACTGTGTATTGGGATAAGGGGATATCCAGTTCTTTAACAGTTCTTTAAACCTGTTGAATAGAGTTAAATAATGGATACCCGTAATGGGGTCTCTGCTGAAGCTAATACCAAAGGACCTGAAACACCATCATGGCGATCCTATCAGAATGGGCTGATGGAAGTCAGGCAGTAAATGGACTTTTGGCCCAACTCAATCTTTCTGTCTGTTCAGTGGGACTGTGGAATGACCCTGTGCTAATTCCCCTAGTTTCCACATTAATATTTTGAAAAGATTTACTTGGAAGCTAACAGGAACCTGATGTTGGTTTTCTGACCTGGGGACCAGGGGCCATGCCCCTGAGGACCAGGGATGGGAAGAACCAGCAAAAGCCTGTGAAACTGCCTCCTCATCTCCTAGACAATAGAGTAACTCAGAAGTAATACCACATCCTGGGAGGAACTGCAGAGATTAGTGCCACTTTCAGACAGTTAGAGGGTGCAAGGGTGCTGGCTTCCATCATATCTTTGTTCAGTTTAGCCTTTTGTTCAACCTTATCGAAGTTGATTTTTGCTCTGAAACTCCTGTTGGGCTGGCGTGGACTTTGTCAGATCAACTTCAGTCTCTAAGGCTCTCCCTGCCCCATCCTGCTACCTCCCCCACTTTCCGTTCACAGGTGTTAGATCTGCATTGTGGTCTGAAAGCTCTGCCTGCCCAGTCCTGCTTCCTCTTCTTTTGAGTTGTCACCGGTGTTACCTCACAACAAACCTCTTGCACTCCTAATCCCATCTCACCGTGGGCTCCTGGAGGACCCACATGGCATACCCTCCTCTCAGTTATCCTGCCGGGTGTGGTGTCTACTCTGAGCAGCTCAGCACAGCCTCTGGTACTTCGTTTGCTGCTGTAAAGGTGATGAATGCATTCTTCCTGATCCTCATTGGTTGAAAAAATAAAAATATGCTTGCTTTTATGTGGGAAGGACAGCAGTACACAGTCACAATTTTTCTCTTGGGCTATGACATCTCTCTTGCTCTTT